GTGTGTGTTGTGAAGGAAAGGAATAGTCGACGTGAATGACGGCCGGTCAGTTCTATAAACCACGAGCCGCTACTGCATATCACCTTATGCAGTTGCGAGCGCCGTAAAACCCTCTACTATATAAAAAAAAAATATATTAAAAAATGGGAGAGCCCACGTGTGCCAACAATGAAGTCCAGAGCGAATGAATGGGGAGGGTGTGGAATTCGCAGACAAGCAGAGCGCATCGCGTGATAGGCCATTCTAGTCAAGATTATCTAGTAGGGCTGGATTCTGCTCGGTTAATCGAAGGCTTGTAAAGCGGCGGAAGTCTTGCGCTAGAGTCTTGCGAGCAGGCTTGTGGTTTGATTTGCCTCCCGCTTGCTACGGGAGGGAACTTCCGGTGAGTTGTGACTCGCGGACAGTCCTGCTGTACTGTGTCGTGACGTCGCGAACTCTCGTGGCAGTGGGCTCAGTACATATTATAGATTCTCTGGTTATTTGCGTTGAGAGGCTTGCACCAAAAGTGCAAGATCGGTTGTTGTTTTTTCATAGTTCGGTTGTAAAAAACAAAAAGCTCTATTCAATGCACTTAAAAATTAATATTGGATCGGCTATTCTTATGATGTTAAGGCCTGTTTATTTTAATGTGCACGAGCCAAGCGCTTCATCGTCGCATGCAAAAGACCTCAGTTCGATTCCCGTATGGGGAGAAATTTTTACTGAGAACCTCCGTCTTTCTGCTGGGGCGTTGTTCCCTCTCAGCCCAGGTTGGCCCTGACATTGGGTTGAAGTAGGCCTAGCCAGTCTCCTAAATGTTCTGTATTATGTCACTGTGAGTGTAACATATCTACAAAATAGGTTACATACATACGATACAAAAGCCAATCACAACGACCCCTGGAGTTCTCCATTCTAGGGTAATCTAAGTCAACTTATTCTTATTACTACCAGGAACCTAGGTCTCTGTTGCTACAATACCACGCTCCCTCTCACTTATCCATTCGCTTAGCTGATCAACGGCGGGAAGTTAAAAATAACTTCAGCTCTCTACGCCTTGCACCAAAACAAGCCCAGCCTCTCCCTTCCTCCACGGTTCAAAGTTCACACAGCGCACAGTACTGTCTTGCTGTTTGAACACATCGGACTGTCTTGTCGCCATCAAGACGGTCCTACGCCATCGAGCCCGTGCCGCTCGCTCGGTGTATTGAGACAGTACAAGTCAGCAGGTCACGTTTGGAGCTTGTCCTGGGGCAAATCTGTAAGCCTAGCGCAAATCAGTACTGTGTGAATTGTGGGGCCTGTGGCAGCGGACGGGACTTGAGGCTTGCGCAGGCCTGGATGAATCGAGTAAACTACAGCGCCACGCCGCGCAGTGACTCTGTGGGCGAGATCTCTCACTCTCCCCCTCTCTCTTTTTCTGACGTAAATGGCTTCGCGGATTGCAAGCAGGGTGGGGATGATGAGGGGGCCTGACACGAGTGGCTTCGCGGATTGCTAGTTGCTGTGGACTTGAAGTTTAGACTAGACAAAGGAGGTTACAGTTTGCGCTAGACTCAACTTATCATGCTGGTGATTTGATTTGATGATTTGACCTACTGATTTGAGGCTTGTGACTTGAACTAGGGGCTTGTGAGCACGAGCGGGTTTGCTACCGGGGTACAGCCCTATTATCTAGGCCTATCGTGCCTCTCACTTTTCCAATGCGGGGATGGAGAGGTCACAATGCTGTGATGGATGGAGCGAATGTATGACGTAGGCAGGGTGTGGTGTGTACCGATAGAGTTAACCCATGTGTGTACCCAATGTGCGCAAGTAGACGGAACGCACCTCAGGGGGTGGTGGGGTGGGGGACAACACAGTGGGCCTAGAGCCCTTTCTTTCTGATCGTCAACGTAGAGCTGTCAACATCGCTAACGCAAGAAAAAGAAACCTGATTCGATTTTTTTTTATCAAGTAAGACCTAGAGCCCAGAGATGATATTGAACAAAACTATCACCAGGGGAGATAACAAAAAGAAATAAACAGACAACCAAAACCATAGATTAGGCCTTCATTATTATTTCCCTTGAAATTATAACTGGGTCCCTTATAATACGAGAATCCTGCTGTGACGGATATTTCGCACCAGTCCCCTCCCTCTCGTTATAAGAGGATTCTACTATATTTGCAGCATAAAAACTAGGTTTCAAACTACAGCAAGATTTATAATATAGGCCCTATTACCAAAGAGGTTATACAGCCTATAATAATAATACTAATAGTACAATTTATAACCTCTTTACCTATTGCCTATAATTTGTTGTTGTTATTGTTGTTGTTGTTTTTGTTGTTGAAGTTTTTATACAGTTTGAGGATACAATTACAATTAAGTAGGGTACAGCCAAGCAGATGTAGGGCCTGTATATGACAAACGAGGCGAACAAGAAAAAAGCCCCAAACAAAACAACAAAAACAATGCATCATCTAGATCTAGTCAGTAGATGTGCCGACTTCTAAGAGTGAAAAAATCAT